CCTCCAAATTTTGTATCGTCTGTGAACTTGCTGAGGGTGTCTTCAGTCCCATCATGCAGGTCATTAATGAAGATGTTCAACAATATTGGCCCCAGTTGCAACCCCTGGGGGACACCATTAGTGACTAGCCTCCAGCTGGACTTTGTGCCACTGGTCCCAGAATACTCAGCAACCTTCTACATAGGACATATCTTTGATAAGGATGCAGGTGTTGCAAAACCATGATGGATGCTTCCATGGGAAACTCGACCTTGTGAGTTCCCATGCCTTTGGGAACAATTTGTTCTTGGCAATGCCAAGCCCCAGCAGAACAGTTGAAGTCACAGGGCGGGGCTGGGAGAATCATGCTGTAGTGTGTCCACTGGGCATCTGAAACACAATTCATCCCGAGTGAGTGACCACTTTGAAAATGTGAATCTTTCTCATGCTAGAGAGGCTGACTATCCAGGGCCTGGCTGAAGGGTGCCTGAGGTGTGTAGGTGAGCGGAAGGTTATGGAGGACTCATATTTTGTTATTAATTGGCCATTTCTTGCATTTGCACTAGATTTCAGATTCAAGTATGGTTTCTGCCAGTTTGCCTTTTTTGTTCTGGCTTGCTTTGTTTTGTTGCTCTGCAGCAGCACATCCTAAAGCCTATGTTGTTGGTGAAGGGCTCAATATAATGCCTCTGTCTTGCATACATCGCCTGAGCAGGCAGGTGGGCTTCCTCCCCTTCCACACTTTTCAGTGCCACAGGGTGAAACCAGGGGATTAAGCCTGTCTAACAGATCTGGTACAGCTTTGTGTGTGCATGAATACTCCTCCTTTTCACCAAACTTTGCAAATACTGGTTTGGATTTCACCATTCTGTAAAAAAAGAGGGGGCACAAAGATGCACTCTGATATCTCCCATCTGCTCTGTGGTTCAGCCGGCTTTGTTCTGTGGCTATCAATGCCAGGTCCATGCTCTCCTCGCTTTCTGAGGAAGTTGCCACAGTTTGTGCATTCAAGTTGGGAGCTGTTACAGCCTGCAAATGACTGGTGCACTGCTGGGTCAGGATGCCAGTATCTGATGTGCAACATCTTCCTGGTCTAATGACGGTCTGAGGGATCCCTTCAGGTCCATACCACATGCAGTTCAATATGCTCCTGCTGATGCATCTGACCTCTGCACTGAATCAGGCAGTCAGGCACCAGCCCTTTGTCATCCTCGCTCTATCTGTGGCCATCAGCTCCAGGCTATCCTGTTACCCTCTGGCCAGCCGCAGCATTTCTGACCCCCAAAAGCCCTGTCCCACCTTATCTATACTCTAGACCTTGCATTCTTTAGCCAGTGGCCCCCTGGGCCCCCTCTGCCTTCACTCACTGCACGCTCCTCTGGCATGTGCTAAGATCACATCCAATCCCAGCCTTTGGAGCAGCTCTTCTAAATGCCTGGAACTCCTTTAAGGTCTCACAGCGCTACTCAACTCTTTTCCTCAGGCTGCACTTTCTGTCCATGGCACCCGAGGCATCACTTCTGCTCCGCTTGCCCTGCAGCCAGGAGCGCTTATCTCCATTAAGGGCTACTCGCTCTGCAGCCCTCACAGGCCTCCTGCTCTCGCTTTGCAGCTTTGAGGAGGGTTAAAGGCAGATATTGTTTATCTTGCACTTCTGGGACAGGCAGAAAACCTGTGTGGAGTGGGGATGGCAGAAAACAGTCCTTTCAGAAACAGGATGGGTAATCAAAATTAGCAGCAGGCCTTTATTTCCAGCTGCACTGAGAAGCTTTGCTAAGAACTCTAAGCACATTTTGCTTGGGCTGAATGAATGAATAACAAAAGCTTTTTTGCAGCTGCAGATGGAACATCGTGTTAGGAATTGCTGTGGGGGCCACAGGATCACATAGCGTGTTACAGCCTGTGCATGAGTGATGGCCTATTTGGAGTAGCAGCATTTCGTAACCGGAGGGATATTTGCAATGGTGTTTTCTGCGATGTTGGGTGCCATTTCTCCTTTTGTCACTGGAGGGAGCTGCCTCATCTTTCATTTCACCTCCAGGATATAGCGCTAAGCTATATTTAAAGTATTTGTTAAAAATGAATGAGCTGGAGGATTCAAGGAGTATTTCAGGTGGGGACAGAGAACTGCATGGCAGAACAGGCTAAGACCAAGACACAGAAGAAAGCAGCAGATCTAGTTCTTGGGCTAGGCAAGAACCTGTACATTTGGCTAGTCTACAACCTTGCCCAAGCTGGTGTTTTGTAACCGGCTCTGCTGCGGCTGGCATTGTCCTCTGGGCTGAGGTTTGCATGCAGCTGCGTGTTGGCGGGGGAATCTCACAAGGGCTCTTTCTGTAAGTGCTGAAGATCAAATGCACCTCTGGAGAGCAAAGCCACGTTCTGCCAAAAAGTGGGGATCTGTCAGTGGTGTACCTGCTTCACCAATTTCTATTTTATGCATAAAATAAATGCCTTAGTCCAGTCACATTAGCATATAGACTGAGTATGGCACTCCAGTACTAGCTGGACCCAGGGACTAAACAAGTTTTGAACTGAGCAAATAGAACATCATAAAACTGCATTTCCAAATACAAGCAGGAGTAGAGGGAGTTCAGGGCAGGGTATAATGGGCTGTTTGTGTGATTGTGCTTCAGGCTTCAGGCTATCATTAATCCCAGAATTTTCCCTAGGGAAGAAGGAAGGACACAGGATCGGGGGGGGGGGTATTGGACTAAGTCACATGTTTATACTGTTGCTCTATGGAACTGTCATATTTACTCTCATCTCCATTACAGAGTTCAGCCTCTGAAAGCCAGATTTCTTTCTTCAACTTTTAGCCATCCTAGAAATAAGCCAGGCTTTTTCCTACCTGAATGAGCATTTTTTCCCATTTTGTGTTTTGTGGTAAAGTACCTATGATCAGTTAAATAAGTGCGTGCAATTTTCTCCAGCTGCAATATGAACTTGGGATGTGCCATGGGTCTGGAGTTTTTGCCCGTCTAGCTGAAGAGAGATCACTTTGCACCTCTGGAGTTTACCTGATGAGCAGATCATCTTCATTAAGGCTCCTGTTAGATCCACAGATCATTTCATTTCTAAATATGTAATCATTTCCCATAAGTTGTAATAAATACTTTGGGAGAAGATTACGGGTCACATATGGTGTAAACAGGCAAAGGCTATTCCTTTCTGTGGCTTTTCCCAACCAGATCTGAGTTAAATCAGTTTACATAATCCTGACTTCAGCCTTTGCTCTTGTTCGTTAAGTTTGTGACTACTTCCACAGCATAGGGTTTTCCAGCATGTCACGTGGGCATCAGGGAGCTATTACTTGAAGAAGGTCTGCAAATAGGGAATAAGAAATGCCAGCTCATTGTCTTGCTACACCAGAGCCTGAATTTCAGGGGAAACGGTACAAGTCCATACACTTTGGAGACTGAAAACCAGTGCTGGGGGCTGTAGCAGGGACAGCTGTCTCAGAGAGGTCCATAACGCTAAGCTAAAAATTCAGGAAATATTGTGCTCAGATCCATAACCCACAAGCTCAGTTTCTGAATCCAGAGTTTTTGCATTGTTCCTCTGTGATTTCCACTGGCAAACCATCAGGCAAATAATCCAGCCAGGATTTACAGGCTTGTTTTTATTAAAAGACATGTTCAGAAAAGATATTTTAGTACAAAAAAAAAGTTTAAAATACACATACTACAGTTTTTTTCCAGAGCCAACATTTATAAATTACACCACATTGTTATTAACACTGCATTTAAATATATAGAAACAAATTAAAACAGGAAATTCATCAAAAAGATCCAACATCCTACAAATGACTATTTACAATATTTAGCAGCTAGGAGCTCTAGCACAGTAGTCAATATGACTTCAATAGGGCAGGATGCTTGGGAATCCCCAAGATGGAAGCTTGGCCTGTAACAGTTTTCAGTGATCTGTTTTGCCCACATCTCCCCAGAGAGTCTCCTCTTACACCCATCCCAAAGGTAAAACCTATGCTGTGTTTCAGGATATGCACATGAGAAGTCAGTGGAGCTCTTGCAGAGAAACCTCGTTGTACTCGAGATTGCCCTTTAAAGCAAATTAATTTCAGGTCAAAGGGAGTCTTTCTGGAGAAGGCAGACCTCCAGGCTTTAAGGAGATATATGGCTGCAGCTGACTCAGAAGATCAAGCTGAAGAGACGAGGCTGATCTTGCCCAGGGACAAAACTGCTCCGTACCTGTGCTGTCCTAGAGCTCGTCCTAGCCATCCTCAGCTGCACTGATGGGCTCCAGGCAGAGCTGAAGAGTCAGACTGCAAGCAGAAAGGCTCTCTAACATCTCCTCTGGCCCCTGTGTAATCAGCTGTGCGATCTCACCCATCATTTCCTGCAACAGAAGGAGTTTTCCCTGCTCCTGGCAAATTTCAGCACAGTCAGAAATAAATGGCTTTGAAGCCTTAGAGGGCAGGGAAGGCAAGTGAGCCTCAGGTCCCCAAAGTGTCCTTCCCACCAAAAACCCATATTCTCACGGAGTTTAAATGACTGGAGTGGGGGCTGGGCAGCAAATGCAAAATTGAGATGTCAGATGCTCGTTGCCTCCACAGTGGTGGCAGGAGGAAGGAGGGCCTAGGGACATTCAGAGGAGAGTGCATACAACTTCATTTGGGAACAACAGTGAGAGATGGGACACCAAAGCCCAGTACCCAACTGTTCTGTTCAGGGCAGCAAAACACTTCCATATGATTCCCTCTCCCCTGGCCTCAGCGCTCGGCTGAGCTGATCAAAACCAGCACGGAAGTGTTCAGACAGGACAGAAAGCTCCAGATGCCTTTAACTCACTACAGCGGCACGAGGCAGGTTTGAAGACCCCTAGTACATACTCTGGAGATGGTTCTCCCTGTTGGCAGCTCCTCTACTGGTCTGGGAGCTCTCATCCATGGCTTTCAGCAACACATGGCTGTTTTATCTACAGTGAGAAGATGATCACTGCATTGTGCCATGCCAGTCACTGCCCACTAAAGGGCCACTAGCAAGAGAAATGGTCCTCTGTGGACTTCCTGGGGAGGGTGGGTTTATTTTCTGTAAACACCAAGTGATGGAGCTCACAACTGTGCTCCGCAAAGAAGGTTAAGTCTGAAACGGCAGCTTTAGGGTTCTGCTTCCAGCTCTGTGGGTTGGATTTTCATGGTGGTCGACTTCAGAGGGTAGTACCTCCCTTTCCATGTCTTCCAGAAGATGCCCTGCTTGCGCTCATGCCTCTGGCGGGGAATGGAGCGGAAGTACTTCCCATTGAGGTTGGCATGGCCACAGGTGCTGAACCACCAGCCACCTACCGAGGCAATGCAGAGGCAGGTTTAATCCACAGCACTTCCAGACAGAAAACAAAGCCACGTTTAAGGTAGCTACTGCCCACATTCTACCCACGCTCCGGTGCTTTGGGAAGTTAAAAGAAGACCTGGTACACATTTGGGGATTCCCACGCACTGGAAACCTTTGCACAGACTTTGTACAAGTTCAAGCCTAAGGCATCCCTGCTGCTCTTTTGCTTCCATGCAAAAACTAACCAATCCCTTCAGCAGCCCTATCTCAGGCCTTTGGTCTGGCCTCCACTTTTCTTGAAAGGTTTCTAAGCAAGGTGGCAGCCAGCAAAGCTGTTATGAAGACGGATGCTTGGGCCAAGACCTGAACCACAAACCTCCCTTGGTTTCAAGCTTCTTTCCAGTTCCCTGCATGGCTCCTCCCAAGGATTCCTCCTGCAGGTTTTCCAGGGAACAGGGAACAAAAAACAAGCTGGGCTCAACACCAAAGGGGTCTAGTGTAGCAGTGCCCCTGTCCCAGCCCAGTCAGAGCCCGAGTCCTCTCGCCTGCAGGCTCTGCCCCTGTGCTCACAAGCAGCACTGAACAGCGGAGGGCAGAAGAGAAGGCACACATCCCCTGCTCAGGAAGAGCTTATACTGACCTGACAGGTGTTTGGCACAGTTTGTGTCAGCTTTGAGATCATGGTCGCGATCTCGAGTGGAGAAGGGCAGCTGCCTGAAGTCCCCAATGGCATTTTCCAGTTCTCCAGACAGAGGTCCCAGCAGGTTGAGTGTGTAGGCTGTGCTCTCTCCACCAAGGCTGAAAACAAACTGAACCACCTGGGAATTTCCTTCCCAGTCTTCCAGCTCAATCAAGAGATTGTATCTTCCTTCTTCAACAAGGTGATGTATTTTCTCCAGGCCCAGCCAGAAGTCACCTGAAACACAGGACAGTTTGCATTGGCTGTAGGTACACAAACATGCTGTGCAAAGCAGACAGATGAGCAAGCTGCTCCAGATAGGCAGGACCCTAAACGGGACAACTGAGGACACTTCAACATTTGGACTTTGTCTGGCACACACAGCAAAAGGCAGGAAGAACAAGGGCACTTGCTCTGTGAAAAGTGTCCTCTCCCTCCTCATCCCAACACTGGGCTGTGGTGGGTAGAGATCTCCAGGGGCCAGCAAAGGGGAACATCTTGTGCTGTGTTAAGATACCACTTATCCCATGATAAGAAGATAGACGCCATCATCCACCTACCATGAAGGTCTCCAAAGCCATTCTTATAGGCATCCCAAAGCTGGTCAAAGTCCACAGAGCCGTCTCTACGCCTCTGGATCACTGTCCAGCCACCTTCTGTAGGGAGAGAGAATTTGGTCATTTCAGGGCTACATTTGCAAGACCACTGTGCAAAACCTGGAGAGACACACAGCCCCTCCGCTACTTTACCTGCTGTCATGTCGCAGTAGACTTTAAAGGGCTGAGACCCAGAGGGCTGAACCTGGTAAACACCACTGCTTTGCTGCCCTTCCAGGAAGAGCTGCTGACAATTCTCTGGAAGCTCTGCAGAAAGAAAGAGAAGGCAGTTAAGACGACTGCCCCGAGTCTCACTTCCTCAACAGGTTACTCCTATCACCATGCTAGCACTTCTACCTCTGGGCACGAGCCCAGCCAGACACGCGCATCAGTCACTGCAGATCTGAAGAGCGAGAGACAGACCCTGACACCAGAGCAGTTAAAATGCTAGTGCCTCAGAGTCTTCCAGTTTACCCAAATCTAGCTCCTTGGGCTCCTGTCCAAGGCAGAAGCTTGGCATTAGGCCAGGATCTGGTGACCCAGGATTGGAGAGCACAGAGAAACTCCATGAGCTTTCCAGCTCCCTGCCCACCAGCTGTGGGCAGGCAGCAGCCCGATTAGGAATGGGTAGCGATGAAGGCAGACGCGCAAGGCGTAACCTTCCCCATCTCACCTCCTAACATCGCAGTGGTCTCCAAGGGCAGAAAGAAACCGCAAAAGCCCTGAAGTCAGGAACGCCAGCCAGCCGTTCAGCGCGTGACCCCCCGCTCCCAGTCCAAGCCAGACATCCCTCGAGTCCTCTAGCCCGCCAGACAACCTGCTGGCCTGTTTACCAGCTGACACCCGGAGGTGCAGAGCCAAGGGGAGCCGCAGTGACCCTTTTGCCTCGAGACACGCTGACCGGGGAAGGAGCAGGCAGACCCCAGAGGATTCGCAGCTCATTGCGGCAATGAGCTCACCTCCCTGGTTCCCCGAGGGGCTGCTGCCCGCAGGCATCAGCCCTAGGGCAGGGCTCCCACCTCTTCTTCCTCCCCTGCTGGAACTCTGCCCCGCGTTGCCAGCGAAGCACCGTTTCAACAGCGCCGTTAAAAGTCCGTCCTGGAGCGCTCACCCGCGGCGCTCAGAGAAACCTGTTACAGAACCGCAGCCAAAAGGCCGGGGCAGGATGTGCAGGGACTTCAGGCTCCCCGCGCTGCGGCGGGGCGGCAGCGCAGTCAAGTGGCTCTTTGTCTGCGGGGGACAGGTGCCCCCGGGCCCG